AGTGTGCAGCAATGCAGATTCCGAGACCGATGTCGACGTTGCAACAGAGCACGTCGCAAATTATGCTTAATTACTCCTCCAATAACCAACCAAGGGGAAAAAAGGTTAAACTTTAATATTCCTACTACATAAGGAAACCCAAAAAGTCTAAAGTTCAACTAAAGGCGAAGTAAGTATGTCGGTTGCACCGCGGAGACCCGACGGATTCATTGCCTCCTACCACCAGACCTCCAAGTGCAACTGCGCAGTTGCGAACGCCATCTTCAGGCAACCCTAAAATCCCTAAACTCCCTAAACCCTAAACCCTTAACCAAGTTACAAAACAAGCACATCTTCTAAACTATGGGGCCCTTTGGGGGCTTTTACAACATTCTAGAATGCCATATGAACCCTAAACCCTAAACCCTAAACCCTAAGCCCTGAACCCTGAACCCTGAACGACTTCAGCATCCAGCCTACATCTTACAGCCAGGCCACATCAAGGGAAAGGGGTAGTTGCGGGTCGTCTGCTGCCTGGCGCGCTCTTTCGGGTATAGGGTTTAGGGTTTCGGGTTTAGGGTTGCAGTCCCTTTGAAAGGCCCTTTATAGGGCTGCCTGTCAAGGGAGCCGCACATATGGAAGATTACTCCAAACCTGAGGCAGTCGGCCCGTCCCCATGAACCCCCTGGAAGCTGCAAACGAGTTCCCAGGGGCCGGGGTTTAGGGTCTAGGGTTCTCCCCCCCCCCGCCCAGTTCCCCAACCCAAAGACCCTAAAAACTCAATATACAAACAGCCTGACCAGGATATACACTGGACCCTCCGGCTGGAGAGCTATATCCCCTAACCCCGAAACCGAAACCTTGGTTTCCAGGCCTAACGCAAAACACTCTCAAACTCCTGAAGCTCTACACGCCCCTAAACCCTAAACCCTCAGGCCTAAGCCCTACTATAAACCCTAAGCCCTAAACCCTCGAACCCAAGAGCATCAAAACCATTCAACCCCGAAACCCAAAGCTAGAGGGTTTTGGGTTTTTAGGGTTGAGATGTTCCCCCTTATATTAACAGCTCCTTAATCGGGATTTTAGGTACCCCCTCCCCTAGTGCCGATTAAAGGAGCTGTTAGTATAAGGGGGAACATCCCAAGTTTACGGTGTGGGGCCTCAAGCCCCAACCTAAACCGTAAACCCTGAACCCGAAACCCTAAACCCTAGACCTTAGACCCTAAACCCTAAACCCTTAACCTTAAACCCTAAACCCTAACCCTAAACCCTAAACCCTAAACCAGAGGGTTTAGGGTTTAGGGTGCAGGGCCCAACCAGCCTGGCAGCTGGAAAGACTCGGTCAATGAAGGGCGCCACCAGCTGGTCCACGTCGAGTTGCACTCCAACTGAGGGTTTAGGATTTAGGGTTTAGGGTTAAGGGCTTGGGGTCTAGGGTTTACGGTTTAGGGTTTAGGGCACTCCAACTGCCCAGGGGCCCAGTGAGCCCCTGAAGAGCCCAACACCCCTAGGGTTCAGGGCTTAGGGTTTAAGGGAATATACCTTAAAATGTAAAGGGGCCCTTAATCTGATGTAAGGAATCTGCCTGATTTGAGGAATATGCCTTAATTGACGAACATGCCTTAATTAAGGGGCATTGGCTCTTTGCGTGAGGGTTCCCGATCGACCCTATTTGCTTAAGAACCCCCGCCCCCACCCCCCCCCCCCCACCCCCCCTAAAAAAAGAGATAAATATAAAAATGATCAAATACATAAAAATAAAAACATGTAATAATGACCCCAATATTGCCCTTATAAGGATGGATAATCCCTATACTACCCATATAAGGCAGCTTGCTATGTTTCATGTTTTGGGGGGTGCTCGAGAGCAAATGATGGGTAATTGTTGGGCAATGATTTTGCTCTTCGAAAGAGGGGGTTGGGCTTGATCTTCTCGGTTGGGCTGGGTTTTAGGTTTTAGGGTTTAGGGTTTAGGGTTTAGGGTTTAGGGTTTAGGGTTTAGGGTTTAGGGTTTTAGGGTTTAGGGTACATTTCACTGCAGGGTGGCTTTGAACCTCGTTCTGCAGGGTGGTTTTGAAGTTCCTTCTGGGGTTAGGGGGGCAAGGTGGGCAAAGGGGGGCAAAGGGGGGCAAAGGTGGGCAAGGCGCCTGCTCGGCTGACAGGTTTAGGTAGCGATTCGGGCTTCGCCATTTCCCCGAGCCAGCCATCCTCCAGTGGTAGGTTCATGGTACTTATTAACCAATCATAACTGTACTTATAGCCATATTGGGCTCTTAAGGAGCTTACCAGGTGGCTATAAGTACAGTTCTAATTGGTAAAGACATGCCATGAACCTCCAATCAGTTGTCATTGTGCCAAAACCATCCCAATCTGTGGGCCCCGTGTACTCGGTTGCCCAGTAACCTCGGCTTTAAAAGGGTGCCCGTTTTTGCTTAAAGGGGTTTATACGGGAACCTAAATCCCCCCCGCAAGATGGGAATAAGGATACTACTAAGCATCCACAGTACCAGGCTGTGCGTTTAGCTCCTAAGCCCTAAACCCTAAACCCTACACCCCAGTTAAACTTGAGAGCATAGATGCCCCCGAAACCCTAAACCCTAAACCCAAAACCCTAAACCACCCTAAACCCTAAATGCTCGCTGTAGCTGGCTGGGCTCGCTGCCGGCCACGCGCGCTGCGATCATGCTGCGAATCTGGCCGCTCGTTTCGTGGTGGCTTGAAGACTTCACTAGCTGCAGTTGGTTTGGGTTCAGGGTTCAGGGTTAGCCCTAAACCTTAAACCCTAAACCCTAAACCCTGGTTCGTCTTTAATGGCGTACACCTGAGCCGGTCTCTGGAAGCCTGCCTGGCATCTGGAGCCTGAGGGTTTAGGCCTGAGGGTTTAGGGTTTAGGGTTTAGGGTTTAGGGTTTAGGGTTTAGGGTTTAGGGTTTAGGGTTAGGGCCTCTCATCCAACACCCTAAATCCAGACGAACGCACATGCACAACACATGATGTTTAGGGTTTAGGGGTTAGGGTTTTCTTCTGAAGGCCGAGCGTGCTTCTGCCCCTCAGTAACAGGGGAAAGTCCTTACGCGCAAGCACCCCTTCTCTGCCTTGGGGACCACATGAGCCCTGTACATGGGTTTAGGGTTTAGGGTTTAGGGTTTAGGGTCTAGGGTTTAGGGTAGTTGTCTGTTACCCCTAGAACCCCTACAATCCCGGATATTCCCGAGAATCCCCTTGTAAAACCCTTTTAGGGTTCATTTGGTCCCCAAGAGGTCTGTGGCTTACTTGGTGCGCTCCTGTGGCGCACATGAAAGGCCACAACACCGGGGGTCTCGCTTAGGACCGAAGGAATCGTGGTCAGTCGGAATTGCGTAGTTGTTGGGTTCAGGGTTCAGGGTTTAGGGTTTAGGGTTCAGGGTTTAGGGTTTAGAGTTTAGGAGGTTTAGGGGGTTTAGGGGGTTTAGGGGGTTAGGGGGTTTAGGGGGCTTAGGGCCTAAAGGGCTGGTTTAGGGTCCTTAGCCTTCAAGGGTTTAAGATTAGCATGTCTAGGTTGCGGGGGGGGCCTTAAGAACCCAACATTGGAGCAACGCTGCCGGGCTTGGGACTATCGCCCCCCCAGCCGCAAGAAGTGTACAAGCGGGACGTGGGGGGGAGGTTCGCACCTCAAAAGGTCCCTAAGCCTATATAAAATAAACACCCGCCACTCTGATGAGGGACAGCCATGAGTTGCCTCACAGCACTTTACAAGCCCTACATTGCACCTGCGGGTGCTGTTGCCGCCCGCACACACTGGTTGCAGAAGTCCAGGCGGCATGTCACGCAACGATTCATCAGCCACGAGCTCGAAAATCGCTCCTGGCAGGCATCACAGACCTTGTGCGTGCGCAGCTTCCTCAAGCCAACCCCTCTAATCCTCAAATCCGAATCATCTGTTCGGATATCTTCAATCAGCTGTGGTAACTTTGATTCCCGCCAAGCAAAAAAGTCAAAACAAAAAACAAGTCTTATATAAAAGACCGAGGAACCCAGCCCTCATTGTAAGACGCCCCGTAAACCGCAGGATCTGCCTGGGTTGCTGGATAGCACGAGCGGCTTCCCTGACCTACAAAAAACTCTACGGCATTTTGGGAGAGACCAGGATGGGCTCCACCCTAAACCCTAAACCCTAAACCCTAAACCCTAAACCCTAAACCCTCACCCCTGTGATTAGCCGTCCTGGTGTAGCGCAGTTTGGGGCCTTGAGAAGTGTCACATAAGTTGCTTTGGTTCTCTCACCTCACCTCCCAAAGGGGCCCAATACCCCTTAATTAAGGAATATTCCTTAAATCATATTCAGGATCCCTTAAGGAATTTAAGGTATATTCCTTAATTAAGGAGTATTGGGCTCTCTGGGCCAAGCTGGTCCTGGAGCCCCTTCAAGATGACAATCCGCCGAGGCCTCGGGCACCCCGGGCCCAACCCCCAACCGCCATTGCCCTGCGTCCGCTCGAAGGGACTGGCCTCCACCTTCCCACCCTCCTTCCTGGTTTAGGGTTTAGGGTTTAGGGCTTAGGGCTTAGGGCTTAGGGTTTAGGGCTTTTCCTCTGCGCGGGCCTTGGCCCGGGCGAGGCGGCCCGCGTAGCGTGACAAATTAGCTGTCCGTCCCAAGGCCGCAGATTACAAAACCTGCAAACAACCCTAAACCCTAAACCCTACACCCTAAACCCTAAACCCTAAACCCTAAACCCCAAACCCTAAACCCTAACCCTAAACCCTCATGAACCCTCACCCTAAGACTCCAAGAACTCTTGTTTAAGGGTGTTTGGCCCCACAGGCCTTCTTACATAAGGTCTTGGGTCTATGTTTTGAACCATGAACCCTACCCCCAAGGCTCATATGTAGTACCTCTTGGGGTAGTATACTAGAATCCCCTACAACTAGCCCAAAAAGGAACTACATTGGAGCCTTGGGGTAAAGTACGGTCAACCCTAAACCATAAACCCGAAACCCTAAACCCTAAACCAGTCAATACAAGGCGCGACAACCCTCTGGAGCTCACCCCGCTCGATGTGGTAGCATTGCCGCACCCGTGCGACATCCTTGGGTATAGGGCTAGGGTTTAGGGTTTAGGGTTTAGGGTTTAGGGTTTAGGGTTTAGGGTTTAGGGTTTAGGGTTTAGGGTTTAGGGTTTAGGGTTTAGGGTTTACGGTTTAGGGTTTAGGCTGTTTGTGTCGGTAACCTGGGAAAAAGAGTTTAGGGTTTCGGCCTAGGGTTTTGGGTCTTGGGTTTGAACGAGGTTTCTCAGGGATCCTATATCCCTGTACAAAAATTACTCCCAATCCCTATAATCCTGAAAACCCCCAGGAATAACCCTAAACCCTAAACCCTAAACCCTCAACCGTAATGCCACTGCGCGTGCGAGCATCCTGATGTCCTTCGCACATGTCGAAGGCGCTCTCTTCGAAGTGGCCGGGGAGGCTTCTCCGCCATGGCGAGACCTCTAGGATTGGGGTTAGGGTTTAGGGTTTAGGGTTTAGGGTTTAGGGTTTAGGGTTTAGGGCTTAGGGTTGTTTAAGAGGTTTAGCGAGATTTGTGGGGCTGTTAGGTTTCCGGGTTTAGAATTTACCCGGACCCTCTCAGATTCTGCGAGGCTCTCCTTCGGCTTGTGGTAGGTAGGTCCGAAAGCCCGCAAAACCCTAGCTTAACCCCGCTGAGCAGGGTTTAGGGTTTAGGGTTTAGGGTTTAGGGTTTAGGGTTTAGGGTTTAGGGTTTAGGGTTTAGGGTTTAGGGTTTAGGGTTTAGGGTTTAGGAAAACCTTTTCAGCCTTGTAAGCCCTCAACCCTCAACGGCGACTTAATATAAAATGACTAGACTTGAATTGAATAATCTAAGAACCCAATAACCTAAGAAAGTAATAGTCCAATCAAATGAATCATGAAATTTAATCATATACTATAATGCAGTACAAGGTAAAGCAAACATTATATGACAATGATAGTGTGTAACAAGAAAGACTGCAAATGATCGATTTCAGGTCGCCAGTGGCCCGGTCGGACATGTGAAATGCTGAGATGCGAGTGCCGCTCGTGATCTCCAACCTCGGTTGGATATGGTCATGGTACCCTTACTTTCGGAAACTCCCATATCTTGAACATTTTAGGGATAAGCCCGATAGGATGTTTTAGAGGATCCTAAACAGAAGCCTAAAGACAAAAAAGGATGCAGGACCTCATAGGGTTTAGGGCTTTAGTATTTAGGATTCAAAACAGCGGGTTTAGGATCTAGGGTGCAGGGTTTAGGGTTTAGGCCCCTTAAAGTCAAAGATGCAAGGGCCTGCCTAGCAACTCGTCCAGCGTCCGGAAATCGGACTCGATCGCCAGCACGCTTTGGCCACGTCTAAGGCCGATGCACTTGAGATCCAGTCGCAAGTGCTCCGCGACGCATCGCCGCAGGTGTAGCAACAGCGACGTGCCATAAAACCCACGCAGCTCATGCTCACGCTCTTGGACTGCTGGGACTTGGTCATACGTAGCAGAAAACCCGAACCACGAAGCAAGGCTTGGCTCAGTCTTCTCAGCGATTGATTCCTGACACGACCGCGCAGACACGCAGGGCGTGCTTGTAAACAGTGCCATGGCCAATCATGCACAACGTTGCTTGGCAACAGCGCGCTTACCTCTACATGAGATCACCTGCAGGCTACGCTGAACTACAATGGAAATAGTGACCTCGAAGCGAAGTTTCGAAAGACGGGGCTGTATCATGCTACATTCACCAGGTCTTGTTTCGTCGGCAATGCCTTGTCTGCCACCTCCTCACAAAGACAGATCTTGATTGGGCCATCAAAGGTGGCAGAGCGAAACCACTTCTCGGCAGCCTCATGTCGCTCATGCTGTGCCCCATAGTCCAGGAAGCCCGGGAACTTGTCCTAGAGTTCATGGTTGGGGATTGTGTTTTGAAAAAATATATTCCTATTCCTGATTGAGTTTAAGTACCCTTAAACCTGAAAAACACATGTTACCCCACACTATGACTCTGTCTTCTGCTTATAAGTACCCTTAAACATGAAGAACATGTTACCCCATCTAAAGAGTCAGTGTCATTCCACCCACGGCTCCACAGGATAGTGGCAGCAAGGGCCCAGGAGCATGGCAAGCAAGTCAGAGCCAGAAGAACCTTAGATGGCCCTTCAAAAAAACCCGCTGAAGACACCCCCCCTAAACCCTAACCCCTAAACCCTAAACCCTACACCCTACACCCTAAACCCTAAACATGTTCCTACATATGGTCCTCTCAAACCCAACAAGGGAAGTACACATAAAATTATCCCAAGCGCCTACCTCGGAACCATGAAGAGAAACCACCAACGACCAGATTGCGGGTCCAGAGTGTATATCAGCGGCCTTTCCCCGCAAATGTCTTTGGAGGCGAGGCGATCCACTGCGGAGCGGTAGGCGTATTCTTGGAATGGTCCGCCCCACCACCCGTAGTTTGCGGTTCCAGACACCAGCTGAGCTGCGGAGAATGGAGGCGTGTCTTTGTGAACCGCGAACGCTATTGGGCAGTCGGCCCGCTGCACCGGGACTATCGGAGCAGCATACACACACGTCTCATCACAGATAGACTCGGAGTCACGAGAGCCACCAAAGCCTCCACCACCGCCTCCGCCGCCTCCGCCGCCTCCGGCCCCACGCAACAAGCGTGAGGACGCCTCTGTGATGTTTTTCACCTGCGTTCCTTGCGTGAGGGGTGCAAGCGGCAGGCAATGTACCGACAGGCAGGTGTCCTTGGTAGCCCAGTAGTAGCCACATTACAATGAGGGCCCCCTTTTTGGGGGGGTTTGGTTATTGCTACAAGGGAGCCCGTAACCAAAACCCTAAACCCTAAACCTTAAACCTCAACCCTAAACCCTAAACCTCGACCCTAAACCCTCAACCCTAAACTAAACCCTCAACCCTAAGCCCTGAACCAAAAAAAAGCAAGGGCAACGGTACCTCTGGGCTGCCAAGTGTCACACGTGCAGAAGGTGGAGCTGGTGACGCGGCTGAGGTCGAGCAGGCCTTCCGCTTCCTAAACCCTAAACCCTAAACCCTAAACCCTAAATTACTAAACGAAAGGCCTTCCACTTCGAAGAGGCGATCGCTCTTGGTCTTGAACGCGGCAGCCAGCTGGTCATAGGAACCCCTCGGGGACCAAAATGAACCCTAAAAGGGTTTATGGTTATATAGAAAAACAAATACATACCTTAATGGAATTATAGTAGTATAGGGTATATAAATATACTTTTATGTACACATATATATATGTGGTTTTTTACCTTCATAGGATTATAATCGTATAATGGGGTCTAGGACCCCCAAAATTTAGGGTTCGTTTGGTGCCCAAGGCTCTCCCGTATGTGGGTGCCAGGGAGTAGGCTAAAGGCAAACTGCGGACCGTCACAGAGGAACCCCAAGAAGGCAAGCAGGATGCCACCAAGAGGGGTCCAGCACCAGCGACGCCGATCTAAGAAGTGCAGCGGATGGTCCACGTGCGGAAAGAATGCCGGGAAGCAAACTTGACACACGCTGCCCTTCATGTAACTTTGATAGACCAGAAAAGCCCCTGAGAGCAAGCTGCCCAAAGGCAGCATAAATAGTGTCGCCGCGAACAGGTCCTGGCTCCCGGTGTGTGAGCTCCAACTTGACCAACTTGTCGATATCGCAAAGCACCAAATCGGCTGCGCGACGAAAGGCAGAATTGTCATCGTCAACAGCCAAGGGCTCACATTGTACTTGAGAGTCGGAGTGAACACCATGGCGCTCTGTTTGGGCGCGGCCCTTCTTGCCGGTCCGGTGGGTGGCTGATTTGAGCTGTGCTGTGCAGGGTCAGCTGACTATACATTCTTACCGTGCGCATGCGAGAGCTCCGAGTTTTACTCTCTAAACCCGAAACCCTGAACCCCAGCGCTGGCGTCGCAACAGAAAAAAAACAGGTCCGCCACACAACGTCCTTGAACTGAAGCACTTGGATTGAAACAGCAAACCTTGCAAGGGCTGTTCAATTTGGGACGTAGGACTTGAATATTTTGAACATTTAATTGCTATGAGTAGGTAGCACTAGCTAAGTTGTATGTTTGAAGCCAATCTACACGAGCCTTGCGGAAAGACTGCTAGTGTAGGGTCGACCTAGCAGTCCCCTAAACCCCCAAACACCCTAAACCCTAAAGCCTAAAGCCTAAACCCGGGCGGCCGCCTTGTTGAAGTTGAAGGAGACAGGATAGTTCATGCCAGGGAGCATCCTGTGATGAGAGATGACGATCCCTGGGTTTATTGAATAGGGTTTAGGGTTTAGGGTTTAGGGTTTAGGGTTTAGGGTTTAGGGTTTAGGGCTGAGGGTTTAGGGACTGAGGACGCTCGAGGCCCGACTTTGATGTCATTCGCGAGTTCGAGCAATCGTTGTAGGTGACAACATGAGAGGCATTCACCCACATGACACCCTAAACTCCAAGCCCCCAAAACCCCAACCCCAAAGCCTAAACCAATACAACCCCTATAAACCCTAAGGCCTAAAGTCCCGAAATGACTTGTCAAGGGAGTCATACTCGAATCCATAAGGATGCACCCCTAAGAGGTGCCGAAACTTCTCCTAGTATGGTCCCCATACGGCTCCCAGGTGGAGTCCCATGAGAAAGGTCGAAAGGTAGGGAACCTAAGGGTGAACCCCCTAAACCCTGAACCCTAAACCCGAAACCCGTAGACCCCCCAATCCCCCCGCCTTGGTAGCCCAGTAACCATATCATAGTAAGGGCGCCCTTTTTTTGGGTTGGAAATTTTTATAAGGGAACCCATAACCAAAAAAAGGGGGAAAGGGTACCACTGGGCTACCAAGGCCCCTAAACCCTGAAGTCACGCCCCTAAACCCTAAACCCTAAACCCTAAACCCTAAACCCTAAACCCTAAACCCTAAACCCTAAACCCTAAACCCTAAACCCAAAGGGAGGGAACCTAAGGCCAGCACTTGTAGACGAGGACGTTCGTGAAGCGTGCCCAGAGAGCAGGTGGCCGGAAGGTCAAGTCACACACCTGAGAGGGTTTAGGGTTTAGGGTTTAGGGTTTAGGGCTTCGGGTGTGGGGTTTAGGGTTTAGGGCTTAGGGTTCAGGGTGAAGGGAGAGCGTGGGGCCTGGAAAGAACAACGTTGGGGCTTGGAGGGCTGGCGCTTTAGGGTTTAATAATTAACGGGTATCTGACAAGATGTTTGCTCAGAATATATATAATTAATTGCAGATATGCAACAACGCCTTTTGAATGTGCATGCAATTGAACACATAAGTCATGTGTATACATATATACATATGTGAAACTATGTATATGTATATATATATATATATATAATATGTGCATAGATAAATAACGTATTTATACTTTTATACATACATACACATATACAAATACAAATACACATACATACACATATGCATATGCATATGCATATGCATATGCATATACACATACATATACATGTACATATTCATATACATATACATATACATGTGTGTGTGTGTGTGCGCGCGCTTTCTTTATCCGTACATACAGATTCTATCATACTCTCAGACTCATACTCAGCGCATATGTATACATGAAAACACGAAAGTTGCATGCATGCATGCATGCATGTGTTCAAACATGCAGGCATGCGTTTAAAACCTGATTCTGATCCCAAGCTCTGCGCTACCACGATGATCGGGCGCTTGGAGAACAGCGCAACCGACCTGCAAGGGATCATGAGCCAATGGGTTTTACCCAATGCCGTCCTAGCAGGCCGTATCTCCCTACACCTAAAGAAATGATCACGTCTCTGCTAACTTTGCAGCGTACATCTGGCCACTGTTGCTTTTACTCGGCAGCGACATCCATGAGAACCGCATGCAAAGCCCCAAACCGGGAGTAGGGCTTAGGGTTTGGGGTTTTGGGCATCGCCTTGGTGTCTGTGAGATTCACACAGACTGGGGTGGAAGGACTACTTGCCAGGTTCTCTCAAAATCACGGACACGCGACGTGCACCCCACCACCCCCATCCCCCCCAAAGTGAAACAAAACAACGGGTGTGTCCGGCTTACAATTCTCTTGGCGGCATTGTTGACCCTCCTGGCTCTTCGAAACTTGAGTTGAGTGCTCGGTTTGCCACAGCTGCAGGCATCTTCTCAAAGAACAGACGGCATGTTTACTGCAATATTGGCAGCACAGTGTTCAGTGTGTTTTCTTCTTTCGGGTCTGGTGCATGGTCCTTGCTGACTGCCACTGAGCTTGACATCCTTGCGCCCTGCAATTCAGCCCTTTCTGCGGCTGTGCTCGCAGGCATGCCTAAGGATCAAGCCCGCCGTATTCCCAACTGCGCGAAGTCTTTGCAAAGCGCAGTTTTCCTTGTCCGCCTGCTTTCCCGAGCCTGTGCAGATAAAGGCACGTTGCATAGCGCGTTGCGTGCAAGGCCGCCTCCTCTTTGGGCTTCTGTTTTGCTGATGGCACTGCAGTTGCCGCGTTGCAGGAAGCAAGCCTCTGCGCTGCATACGAGCGGGATGATTTTACTCAGTGGCTCCTCACGCCAGGATCTGGCTGGAAGTCCGCCTTTATCAGCATGCTAGAAACGCAGCGGTTGCCACAAGCTTCACATGAAGCCAGAACAGCGCGAGTTGCCAGGGCGGCCTCTGACCTTGTGGTTGGGGCTGGTTTCGGCTGGGTTTCCAAGTCTGTGACCTCTGCCGGCCGTCCCTTTGCGTGCACTGCGGTGCCGGACTTCCCA